ATAAAATAGAACCAGAGTGTTTGACTGTCTAGTGTATTTACATTATTCATATAATATATTCTCAAAACTCACTGGTCCTGCAGTAGGTTTTCAAAGGCTGAAAACCACAGGGAAAGAGGTTGCCCATCCTCCTTCAGAATGCTGGATGGATCCGATCCATCACAGAACCGAGTCCCTAAGGACTTTGCCACCAGAGCTCCCTTTATAAGATGTTACATATCCGAAAGAATAGCTGGAAGTTTGCTCTTGGTAAGTCTAGAACCCACAGCGGACCTGGCACAAACACACGCGGATGAACATAAAGTGCAGCTGCCGGGAGCAGGCCCAGAAGAAGCAGGAGTGAGCAGAGATCCTGAGGCTCCTCCCCCAGAGGATAACTCGGCAGGGAGGTCGCCCTGGAGTCCTGTGAGGTAGAGCAAGTGGTCCCACCCAAGCAAGGGCCCGAATCCAGAGCACAGGATCCAGTCTCAGCCCACGTGGGCAGCACCCAGACGTGATATGAGGCACTAGGAGGTCCTGGTCTGGCCTAGTCTTCTGCGGCCACGAGGAACAGGCCCAGGGTGCCCTGGGATATTTGCCAGGACGAGAGGCGACCGGACTTGTCCAACACAGACTGGGAAGCGCTCATCCGGACGCTCAGCCGCTGCCGTGCGTCCAGGCGCAGCATCAGGCCCTGCGACCCTCCAGCCAAGCTGGATGCAGAGGACAGGACCACGGGCAGGGTGAATGCGGCAGGGCCTTGGGGCTGCAGGTGCAGGGTGACGGTGACAGTCTCCGAGTCCTCATCCTTTCCCGAGCTGCTCTGCACCCGCTTTAGCTCCAGATGCAAGAAGACGTAGTAGATGCCACTGACGGCCACTTCCAGCTCCCTCTGGGCCTCGTGGTAGCTCAGGCCTTGTGCCAGGAACACCCCTGTTATGCCCGGGTCGCTGTACCAGTTCAGTGTCCCGTCATTCAGTTGTACTGTTGAGGGAAAGGAAAAGGGGTACGGTGAGCAGAACTGGGGGTTCTGGGAGCAACGGAAGAGACTCAGAAAACGAGGCCCAAGGGGAGTAATACCCAAACGAACGGGGGTGGAGGAGAAGATGAGATCCAATGTGAGAGGATTGGAGGACTAAGCGAGGACGGGGAGGGGGTGGGAGTTAGCAAGGGGGGAGGGAATGAAACCCAAGGGGAGGGGCAGGGCTAGGGGCAAGACTCAGCAGGTGGGAGGGAGTGAGGCCTAAGGGGTAGGGGTGTCTGGGTCTCACAGCGCGAGAGCACGTGGATGGGAGTAAGGGCCCTCTGAGCGGAGGTGGGCAGCACAGGGGAGGCCCGGATGGGGGCGGAGAAGGCGGTCAAGAAGGGAAAACCCGAGGCCGATGGGGACTCTAATTGGGGTGGAGTGTCCGAAGACTCAGAGGAAAGTGGGGGAAGAGGGCTCCGAGGAAGAGGAGGCGAGCAGGGGAGAAGGGAATTCCAAGGAGGAGGGGCAAGGGCGGACACACACTGCAGAGTGAGGGTGGGGAGAAACTGGTAACGGAAAGAAGAGGGGACCCTAGCGAAGGGGGTGGAGTGTCCCGGGGGAGTGAGGGGGTGGGAAGAAGGTCTGGACTAAGCAGGGGAGGAGGGGGCCGGGGAAGTCACTCGCCGCTGAGATGGAAGGCATCTGAGACCGAGCAATGAAAGGGGAAAAGAATAGAATCGGCGCCTGGGACAGGGGCCTGGGCTCGGAGGGGGCACGGGGACCGCTTTCCGAGAAGAAGTGCCCGCTCAGCTCGGCTCGGGAGGGACCGGGTGTGGAGCCGGGCGTTCGCACCTCCCCGCCCCCGCCCGCGCGCGTCTCCACCGCCGGGGACCGTGAGCCCAGTGGCTCCGGACACTCACCTTCTCGAAGGACCAGCTGGCCGTAGATCGCCTGGGGACAGAAGAGAGGCGGGTGGTGGGTGGTGGCGCCCCAGAGTGGGAGTGACACCCGGTTCCCCCCAGATCCTCGCGGGTCTTAAGCCCCCCTCCACTTCTCCAAAGAGAACACACATCCATTGGGAGTTGTTGGCCCAGACTGCCTAACCCGTGAGGTCTGCAAGGACAGAAACGTGAGCACCGGGGAGGGAAGGGGAAGAACGGATCCCCGCAGGGTCTGCCAGAGCAATAAGGTCCCCTGCACGTCTTCCGAGAGGCTCTGGGTGGCCGCGAAGGGCCCGGGGAGCGCGCGGAGAAGGGGCATCCCCGGGGACGAAAACCCAGAAGGATCCCACTCCGGCCTCCCGGGCCCCGCTGAGCGGATTGGGGCGCGCCTCACCTGCCGGGGGACGGCGAGGGCGCCGGGCGAGCCCAGGTGGTCGGCAGCTGGGCTCGGGCTGGGAGGGGAGCCGGGCGCGCAGAGGGCGCAGACGGGCGCAGATGGCACCGCCCAGGAGCGCACGGCTAAGGCGGCACCGACGGCGACCAGCACCAGCAGCGCCGCGACTCCCAGCGTCCAGGGGAGCCAGCGGCGGGCGCAGCCTCTGGGCGCGGACGTCAGAGCCTCGGGGTCCCGGGCGGCGGCGGTGAGGGTGCTCATGGCTGAAACCCGGAGCCGCGCTCCGCGCGCCGCTAAATAGCGGGGCTGCCCGCCCACGTGACTCCCTCTCTGATTTGCGGGGGGGGGGGGCGCGAGGGGGGCGGGACGTCCCTACCGCCCCTCCTCTTCCGGACCCAGTCTCGGTAACTGCGTTCCATGCGCTAACTTTCTCTTTCCGGGCTTGCTTTCTCGTTAGGACCTTTGCACCTGTTTCTCCGTCCCTTTCTCCACGTCTCACTCTCTCCACGTCTCACTCTCTCCACCGCCTCCCTCCGTCTCTCTCTGGGTGACCCAATGGAACTGTCAGTCTGTGTTTGTTGTTAGGTGCTGTCGAGTCGAGTGCGACTCACAACGACTCTGACAACAACAGTTCTGCGCCCTGTCCTGCCCTGAGCCAGCCTCGTCATCTCTGCCACACTTGAACTCGTTCAGTCCATCTCGTGGAAGGTCTTCCTCTGCTTCAGAGCATGATCTTTCTCTCCAAGGAATAAATAGCCCCTCCCTAGCCGCATGTGTGTGAGTTGAAGCTTCACCATCCTTGCTTCCAAGGAGCAGCCCTCCTCCGGCTGCGCTTTCTCCAAAAGATGTTTGTTCCACGGGATAGTCGGTTCTCTTCTCCATCATCGCAGCTCAGAAGCACGGATTCTTCTTTCCTCCGGAGTTACCGTCCAGCATCTGTAGCCATTCTCCGGCTTTCAGATGCAGAGCACGCGATGGGAAAGAGCATGTCCCAGGGCGCTCTCAAATCCAAACGCTGTCCCCCGGATGCCAGAAGCCCATCACCTCCTGCAGCCCTGCCGCTACTGACCCGTCCCGCCCCTGCTGCAGGTTTCCGCGGCTCTGTATCTCAACGGAAGAGGCTTCTCAACTGTGGAGGAGCACCTGGTGGATTTGAACTTGTGGGGAAGCAGAATACATTTCTGAATGAATTCACTATACTTCTGTCTTCATTTGGAACGGTGGAGGATCCGCGGAGGAGAGGAAACCCCCCAATGAGATGGACTGAGAGTGCACAGTGACTGCAGCCAAGGGTTCAAACGTGGCAGAGACTGTGAGGGTGGCACAGGCCAGGCCAGGGTGCAGGTCTGTTGTTCATAAGTTTATTGTGAGACCGGCCCCTGTGCAGTGGGATCAAGGCTCAGTCCTCTCCTCTCCTGCGCCCCACTTCCACCAGCACCAGGCTCAGCCTTTCCCCACCTCCCCTTGGAGCCTGGGCTTTCCTCCCTGACCCACCACCCACCCTGACCCACCACCCACCCTCACACACCTGGACCCTTCCCATCAGGAAGCCCTTGGATTCCACAAGCAGAAGGCTGGACAGTCCGGGCCACGAAATCCCCTGGAGGAAGAAAGGGAGTCTTGAGTGAGAGAGAGGAAATTCAAATTTCCCGTTTGCTCCTCCGTAGGTGGGGACGGGAGCCGGAGCAGGGACGAGCTGAGAGAGGTCCAAAATGAGGAAGTGCCTCAGATTGAAAGGTGGGCGTGGGGAAAAGCCCTGCTCTGCCCCACCACCTTGGTGGACACTGGGAAAGGCGAGGAGGGGCCAGGCAGCCCGTCTCTCTCAGCTCCGCCTGCGTGGTCAGCAGCCCATGAAATGCTGGGAAATTTTGGTTCAAGTGCTGGATCTTCTGATTCGGCTGTGTTCACTCCGGTGACGGGCTTTCCTGGGAAAACACAGCAGAGATGGCAGTAGTGACACCAGGTGGCAGAACATTCCAGCGGTGGGGAGATGCTTGTAACTGTACCACTGCTTCTCCCACCAGTGACTCCGCAGACCTTATCACATCCCCAGAAAGCCTGCCAGTTGGGTACATTTTTTACCACAGCACTCAGACGCCTACCCAGATCCCCAGAAAGCCTGCCAGTTGGGTACATTTTTTACCACAGCACTCAGACGCCTACCCAGACCGGGCTCCTGTAGTCGAATTGGCTTCCTGCTGTGCCCTGCAGGGTTTCCAATAGCTATGACCCTTGGGGACCCCACCTCCATGACTTTTGTCCAAGGTCCTCTCTGGGGGGCTCACTGCCACCTTTTAAAAAAAAATTCATTTTAATGAAAGCTTACTGAGACTTAGGGTTTCCAGTCATTCATTGTTGCACTTTTCTCCCTACACACCCTTTCCCCCATTCACTCTTCTTGAAAAGAAAAACTCTCATTATTATGCAATCCCTCCCCCCCCCCGAAGTCCACTCCCCTGTGGAGCCTTCACTCTGGACTTCTGTAATGACAAGAATACCCATTCATACATACCTGTTAAACAGTTCTCTCCCTCATCTGTTTCAATGCAATATGCATCATTCCTCCCCCTTTTCTGTCTTCCCTCAGCCCTGATGTCAGTCCCATTTTACAACAGTGGCTCCGTGCAATATTTGTCCTTTTGTGACTGCACTGCCGCCTTTTTAGCCCCTGGCACCCAGGACTCCCAACCCAGAACTATGGGTTTCAGAGGGCCTGGGGGGGGGGGCATCTGTGTCTTGTCTGGCCTTCCAGAAGATTCTGATGCTCACTCAAGTTTGAGAAGCCACTGCGTTGTATGTGTTCCTTTGTTCTTGGAAAGTTCTTCCCCGAAACCTGTGAACAGCAAACACCTTCCCTCTGTTCACATCAGCTCAAACCATCCATCTGTCACTGCTCTTGTCTGTGGCTGGTTTAGGCGGTAAGAAGTCTGCCACAGCTCACAGTGACCTTGTGAGCAATGAAGACGCTTGTCTGACCCTGCCCGGCCATGAGCTCCGTCCTGCTCAGGCGCACTCTCATGGCTCTGTGCCTGTCCAGCTGGTGAAGGGTCTCTCTCTCTTTCCACGACCCTGCCCACCATGACATCTTTTCCCAAAGATGGGCCCCGCCTGACAACATGCCAGAGTCTGTGGGATGAACTTTCATTATCCTTAACTCCCTGGCTGTTGTTGTTATTATTTATTATTTTT